CCTCCCGGTCTCCCTGACCCCCCCCCCCCCACACCACCCGGTCCCTGGGAGACACACACACACTCACTCTCCCCTCCCTTACTTCTCTTCTTTGATTTCCCAGTCTTCTTGGCACTTTCCTCTCTGGGGACCTTCTCCTCCAGAGAATGCCCCTCCTGGTCACTAGTGTCACCCGCCCTGTTCAGGGCATCAGGCTCAGAGGCAGGAAACAGGTAGTTGGGCAGAGTGGCGGCTGAAGCAGGGTCTGAGTCTGGAAGCATTTCGGAGGTACTGACTGCAAGAAGAAAGGCCTGAGGTGGGCGTGGCCCGGTGCAGGGCCAGAGCGGGGCTCCCAGCTCTAGAGAGAATGGTGGGTTCTTGGGGAGGGTGTGGGGCTCTTCCCCAAGGCCCCAGACACAGGATACACCTGAAAACCCCTCGTGGGTCTCACACCATGAGGGGAGGAAACATCTGCGGAGCTGTGGGCACGAGCTGGCCCCAATCATGGCTGCCCATTGCTGGTGGTGGGGAAGTTCCAGGTGGCATCCGGGATAAAGGGCCACCTTGATTTAGTTACTTGTTCATTTTACAACTTAAAGGGGACTTCGAAATCACTTAGCCCAATTCCTCTGCTTTCCTGATGAGGAAACTGAGACAGACCCAGAGATGGCAAGTCTTGTGCCCAAGGTCACACAGCAAGTCGGTGCCTGGTACATATAGGCACTCAGTAAACATTTGTTGAATCCTGGATGAGTATTAGTGTGAGTCAGCAAGGATCCTCCTGCGGTGTTAGGGCATCTACCTGAGGAGCACTGGGAGGACCCTGCCTTAAGCACCTTCCCGGAAGTTAGGGGCCAGGTAAGGTCAGCAGGGATGAGGCTGGCCTCCAAGAACAAAGAAGGAATGGAGATGTTCCAAGCCTGGTGCACTTCTAGATAAATCACACCCTGAACTTCTTAATCTTTCTGGAAGTCATGCAAAAGAGCAGAGGCATGAAACGGTCATCCTGGCCAATATTATTCTGCCTTAGAAAGGAAAGAAATTCGGTCATAGACTACAACATGGACGGACTTTGAGGACACGATGAACTAAGCCAGTCACAAAAAGATAAAAGTCACATGTAAACCAGTAGGCAAGGGTACGCCTGCATGTGCACGTGCCTGAGATTCCAATGCACGAATGTGTCATGATATCTTAACATGGCATTTTGTTGTTTCCTTAAGACATCAGGGTTCAAACTTACAGATCTGCTTTTCATCCAGGATGTCATTGGGAGACTCCACATTGAGCAAGACTTCAGTGGTTGACACTGTGTGTGAGGTGGCCTCATTGTCATCTGGTTCCGGTTCCACAGGAGGGAGAGAAGAAAAGTTCTCTCAGGGCACAGGGTATGGGGACAGCTCTAGTCAGGGCCAGCCTGGAGGATGGTGCTAAGTAACAGAGTGATGATCAGAGAGCCCTGGGAACCTTGGCGAGAGGGTCTAGAAGACATCTGCCAAGTGCCTGTTGCCCTCCCGCCCTCTTGCTCCACCCCCTTAGCTGGTCTCCATTCCTCTTTGCCCCACCCCCTCTTGAAAGCTCATGAATCCATTAAGATGGTTCTCTCCTCTGTGAGGGGCACTACCTTTAGTTGGGGGCCTCCTCCATCCTGCCTGGGGTTACTAGAAGCCACTGAGGGTTGCTGTCCCTGAAGACAGCACCTCCTCCACCACACCTTCCCTACCCAGGAAGGGAACAGACCTGCCAGCAAAAAACTGCCTTCCAGGATCTGATCCTGCGTCATGCACAGGGTCCGGTCTGTGATGATGCCGTTGTGAACGTCGTCCAGCTCCAGTCCTGAGTACAGGTGCAGTAACTCGGGGTAGGGTACCTGTTCCACGATCACAGCTGGGAACACTGAGGGGTCTTCCAGCTATGGAGAGAATAGGGATCTGGTTCAAGACCCACTTATCTGTTTTTCTGTTTGTTTGTTTTGAATCAGAGTCTCACTCTGTCACCCAGGCTGGAGTGCAGTGTCACGCTCACGGCCACTGCAACCTCGACCTGCTGGGCTCAGGCGAACCTACTGCCTCAGCCTTCCAAGTAGCTGGAACCACAGGTGTGCGCCACCACGCTCACCTAATTTTCTGATTTATTGTAGAGATGAGATCTCACCAAGTTACTCAGGTTGGTCTCGAACCCCTGAACTCAGGGAATTTTCTCACTTCCACCTCCCAAGCCACCACACCCGATCTACACTAATCTCTTCCAGGAAGCCCTTCCTATCAGAATCTGGTCTTTCATGCAATTCCTAACTCTTGGGGCCCTCAGGGGCTGTCCTCCATATAGGATAGCATTACTCTGGGTCCAGCCTCACTAGGTGACACTTTGAGTGGGTTCTTGGTTAACAGAGAAGGGTTAGCTCTTCACTACTTGCTCTCAATCAAAGGCAGACATTTTTAATTGGTTGTCATTATGGGTTATTCCATAGCTGGGGTTAGGGCTCAGTCTACGAGAATGGTTAGGCTCATTCTGAGACCCGTGGGAAAGGATCAGTTGATTGCAAGAGTGAGGGGCTCAATCTATAGCCAGAGTTAGGGGCGCAGACATCTTGGGGCTCAGTCCATGACAATGACAGTGGGAAAGAACACAGAATAGAGACATTATAGAAGTAGAGGGCCAGGTGCGGTGGCTCACGCCTGTAATCCCAGCACTTCGGGAGGCCAAGGCAAGAGGATCACTTGAGCCCAGGAGTTCAAGACCAGCCTGGGTAGCATAGCAAGAGTCCATCTCTACAAAAATAAAAGTAAAAAGCAGGAGTGGAAAGCTCAGGGCCCAGTCATCGCCTGGATCAGGGAGAGAGTTTTCAATTTCCAGCTTCATTCAATGGTGACATTGGGATGTCATGGGATACAGATCATGTTAAGGGGAGGGCCCAGGAGGAGGAAGGGCAGGTTTTGGAGCACAATGTCTAGACACGGTGAGCTTGAGGTACCTTTGGGACACTAAAATGGAGAAGCCTATCGGGAAGTGAAAAATAAGCGTCAAAGAGTCCAAAGGGAGCTGGTTGTTCCTCAAACCCTTGGAGTGGATAAGATAATCAGAATGGGAATTCAACCCCTAGAAAACGTAAGTGTTCTGAAGTTAAGTGAAGCGAAATAAGAAAGGAGGGTGATTGTAACTGTTTTCATGTGCGTGTGTGTGTTTATTTTATTTTATTTTGAGTTGGAGTTTCACTCCTCACCCAGGCTGGAGTGCAGTGGCACGCTCATAGCAACTGCAGCCTCCACTTGCAGGGTTCAGGCGATCTTTCTGCCTCAGCCTTCCAAGTAGCTGGAACCACAGGCAAACACTACCAATTTTTTTTATTTTTTTTTTTACAGACGCGGTCTCACCATGTTGCCCAGGCTGGTCTCGAAACCCTGGGCTCGGGTAATCCTGTTGCCTCTGCCTCCCAAAGTGCTGGGATTGCAGGCGTGAGCCACTGTGCCTGGTCTGTGTGTGCTTTAAGAGATGGGTTTTCACTGTCACCCACACTGGAGGACAGAGGCATGATCATAGCTCACTGTAGCCTTAAACGTCTGGGCTCAAGAGATCCTTCTACTTCAACCTCCTGAGTAGTTGGGACTACAGGTGTACACCACCATGCCCTGCTAAGTTTTTTTTTCTTTTGTTGTAGAGGTGGGGGGGGGGGGGTCTTGCTGTGTTGCCCAGGCTAGTCTCGAACACTTGAGTTCAAGTGATCCTCCCACCTTGGCCTCCCAAATTGCTGGGATTACAGGTGTAAGCCACTATGCCTGGCCACTGCAATTTTAAACAAACAAACAAACAAGCAAGCCTCTATATAGAAAAATAAAAATAACAGAATATTAGTAATAGTTATATTTTGTTTGTGGGACTTTGAGTGATTTTTTCTTCCTTTCTACTTTTCTGTATTTATCAAATTTTCTTTCATGAGAATGTTAAAAATTCTTTTATCATGAAAAAAGGATGAGAACTATCTCCTCTGTCTAATATTCATAAGGGATCCAGAAGAATAAACATTGATAGAAGGCTTTTGGGGCCAGGCACAGTGGCTCACACCTGTAATCCCAGCATTTCGGGAGGTCAAGGAAGGAGGATCACTTGAGACCAGGAGTTCAAGGCCAGCCTGGACAACACAGTGAGACCTCATCTCTGCAAAAAAAATAAACACTTAGCCTGGTGTGGTGGTGCATACCTGTAGTCCCAGCTACTTGGGAGGCTGAGGTGGAAGGATGACCTGAGCCAAGGAAGTTGGGGTTGTGGTAAGTTATTACCCTACTGTCCTCTAACCTGGGTGACAGAGTGAGACAAGAAGAAGAAGAAGAAGAGGAAGAAGAGGAGGAGGAGGAGGAGGAGGAGGAGGAAGAAGAGGAAGAGGAAGAGAAAGAGGAAGAGGAAGAGGAAGAGGAAGAAGAAGAAGAAGAAGAAGACGGCCTTTGAGTTTGGCAGTTTCAGGGTAGTGCTAGGGTCCTGGGCCACGTTACAACAGATCTCAGAGCAGATGGACTGAGGCAGGAAGTCCAGTGTAGTGATTAAGGTCCCAGTGTCTAGAGTTGTGCTGTCCAAGATGGTAGCCACTAGCCATTAGTGGCTATTTATTAATAAATGTAAATGTATATGAAAACTCTGGAAAGATTAAACATTCAGTTGCACTGGCCACATTTCAACTGCTCCATAGCCATGTGACTAGTGGCCTCACACTGGACAGTACAAATATAGAACATTTCCAGCATTCCAGAAAATTCTATTGGATCGTGCTAATTAAGAGTCAGACTGCCTGAAGTTGAAATCAAACTCTGCTACTTACTAGTGGTGTGACCTTGGGAAAGTTACCTAACCTTTCTGTGTATCAGTTTCCTCATTTACAAAATTGGAGTGATCATATGATTGATCCCATAGAGTTGTTTAGACAGATCAATACACAGAAAGCACTCAGAACGGGGCCTGGCATAAACTAAGTTTTCAGTGAGTGTTAGGTATCAGGGACTTCTAGGAGACTGGTAATATTTTATTTCCTAACCTGGTGGTGGGTACAGGTGTTCATTTTATAGTTGTCTATAAATATATGTGTGTGTGTGTGTATGTGTATATATATAAATAATATATATGTGATGTATGCACTCTTTCATATTCATGTATATTTCACAGTAAAAATTGTTTCCTAAAAAGAATGAAAGGGGGCTGGGCTCGGTAGCTCAGCTTGTAATCCCAGCACTTTGGAAGGCTGAGGTGAGTGAATTGCCTGAGTCCGCAGGTTTGAGACCAGCCCGAGCAACTTAGTGAGCCTTCCTCTCTACAGTTAATCAAAAAATTAGCTGGGCGTGGTAGCACACGCCTGTAGTTCCAGCTACTTGGAAGGCTGAGGTGGAAGGATCGCTGGAGCCTAGCACGTCGACGCTGGGGTGGCCATGAGTGTACCAGTGCACTCCAGCCTGGGTGACGGAGTGAGACTCCAACTCAAAAAATAAATAAATAGATAAAACGGAAAGGGGCCAGGTGCAGTGACTCATGCCTGTAATCCCAGCAATTTATGAGGCCAAGACAGGAGGATCACCTGAGGCCAGAGAGTTTGAGACCAGCCTGGGCAACTAGCATGACCCCGTCTTTACAAAAAATTAGCCAGACGTGATGGTGCGCCTGTAAGTCCCAGCTATTCAAAAGGCTGAGGTGAGAGGATTGCTTGAGTCCAGGAGTTGAGGCTACAGTGAGCCATGACTGCACCACTGCACTCCAGCCTGGGTGACAGAGCAGGACCCTGTCTCAAAAAAAAGTGAAAGGGGGGTGACAAAGTAAAAACAGAAGGTGGAGACTACTCTGGGAGGAAGAAAGGAGCTAAGAGAAGGGTAGATGTGAGGAAATGTTTCTTTTAGGTTTGGGTAGACCTGAAGATGCTCAAAGTTGAGGACAAAGATCTGGGAGGTCTAAAAGATACAAGAGAGGAGTGATGGATGGTTTGAAGTCCTGAAGGAAGCAGGAGAGAACAAAGTAGAGGTCGGGAGATACTTTTGGAAGGAAGAGGGACACTTCCTCCTCCCAGGCCAGTGGGAAGGAAATAAGAAAAGGAGATATGACAGATAAAAAGGGAGAAGGGAGGGAAACTTAGGGCGTCCCTGGCTTTGAGCTTCTCTACAGACCGGAGGAGAGCCTGTCGGCTGAGGGTGGAGGGATAGGCTGGGTGGCAAGAACAGCTTCTGTGAAGAACAGAAACAGTTGCTGAGTGGACTAGAAACAGGTTAAAAATGGCAAGTAGCACTGAGAACCCAGGCGAGATTAGATTTGTCTTCCCTTCTCCTCGCCTGATGCCTTCCATGAAGCTAGGCACGCCAGAGGAGTTCAGCAGTTACCAACTTTAGGGAAGAACAAGCAGGACAGAAAGTTCGATGCGCTCACAGGCCACTAGGGAGCAGTCTTTGGCAGTCCGGTAGAGATTGGACAGCGTTCCATCCTCAAGGATTTAGGATCGACAACATCCAAATTAAGCCGGGATACCCTTGGACGTAATCCAGTCATATCTCCTCTTGGTGAAGATGGGGAGACGGCAGTCAGCTAAGGTAGGGGACAGGACTTGCCCAGGTGACATTGTGGCTCCTGACTCCTAACCTTCCATTCCTTCTACCGTACCTGGCTACCTCTTCTTTCTCCATTTTGTGGAAGGAGGAGAACGAAGGGTAGCTGTGAGTATGCCAGACACCATTCAATGAGCGCGTCTAAGTGCATGGAAAATGTGCCAGCACAGGAAAAGTATGGAGGAGTGGTGACCTGAGTGAGCACCAGAATCCTGTCCTATTTTCCAACCTCCTCCCACAAAATACCCCATTTCCAGTCTGTCCTGAATCCTCAGGTTGAGGCAAAAAAATGATTATGGAAGGGCCCATCAAGCGGGCTGGAGAGATGAGTCTGAAAATGCCAGGGCTGGGACTCCACTCTACAGTTCCAGCTGGCAGTGCTCACTCTTGCTATGTGGTTGTCCCTGCAGCTTCCTCACTACGACACCTTGGGGGAAGGGAAGTGGCTGAAAATGCATATGGTGGTCAGGATCCACCTTGTGCATTCGGCCCGTGTTGCTGACTGACCGATAGCTTGGCTGACTTACTTAGCAGCTGCTTGGCTGGCTTGGTGATTGTGCGTGGGCAACCGACTCCCTAGATGACCGCCCAATGACTGTTGACCAATTGTGTGAGTGACACAAGCTGGCTGGCAAGTAGGCCTGGTGCCCTGAGCATAGTAGGCGCTTGATCGTTATTTGCTGACTAGCTAGCCATTCGACCGGCTGGCTCACTGGCTGTCTGCCTATGTGTATCTGATAATCTGCACTGGCTGACTGCTTTGTTCTCTGGGGTCATACCTGGTGGATGTCATCCATCCCGTTGCTTGCAAACTCAAAGATCAGGTCACTAGGCTGCAGGGTAATAGCCATGCTGTCTTCTCAGAGAGCTGACAGAGGGATTCGCAGGGCCCTCTGGAGCTGTGGGACTTTCTTGGCGATGAGATGCTACTCAGGTACCTTGGAGCCTAGAGCCTAACCCCTGAGCCGCAGTAGAATAGGGGGTGTAGAGGGCTGGAGTAGGCGGTGGCCTAAGCCAGGCTCAAGGCCGCATGCTGGGTTGGGCCAACCACAGGAGAGACCTAGGGAGAAGAGGGAGATGGGACACTGAGTCAGTCACCTTCCTTGAGCTCTGGCGCCAGGACAGCTGGTGAACCAGAGGAACCTTGCCACGCCAAGGCAGACTGCCAGTAGAGGAGTGGCCAAAAGGGAGGACAATGGCAGAAGAACGGAGGCAGGTAACGAAAGAAGGAAAAAGGCAGTCAACCAAATGGCCTCCAGCAGGAAGTGGCTAAGCTTTAGTGCCAGGCTGGGTCACCAGCATCTACACCTCACACTAGCCCCCAAAGACAGGCAGCCTCCCTCTTTTCCCTCCCCTTTCTCTAGAGGAGCTGACAGAGAGACTTGAATCTCTCTCCACCCTAAAGGGCATAGCCACAGAGGAAGTCAGGGTGCCAGCCTGGCCTCGAGGATGGGACTACAGCATGAAGAATTCCCATAACTCCCTTGCTTTGGAAAAGAACTATGTGTGAGGGGGTGTGAGTGGGGACATGTGGGTGTACAGGGCCTGGCTCTAGCTGAAGACATTTTACCCTAAGACTGGGGGCCAGCTAGCTCTGGGGGACGGTGTCTACAGAAAAGGAAATGTCCCGCTGTGAGGGTTGTGTTGTGTCAGGGCCAGCAGTGGCCTGACCCTGCTCTCAGAGATGGGACCCTCCAAGGGGATCATGCCTCTAAGAGAGCTTGGAGACAGGACAGACAGGTAGGCCGCATGCTCTGTGTTCATGAGCACCCCCACCCCCACCGCCACCGCCCGCCAGAGTATGGCCTCTGTGCTGTGTGTGGGTTTGTGTGTTCTTGGTTCAGCTTTGCTTTCAGTTTCAAGACTGAACTGTCACCCTGGGAACTTGTGAGGAGAGCCCTGGCTGGGGGAGGGGCGAGCGGAACCTTCCCCATCCTCCCGGCCAGCTCAGGCCCCTTTTCCAGGAAAGTGGCTGTGTCTGCTGCAGCCCACACACGCCTCACCCCTCCCTGTGTGCCTCCTGGGCTTGGGGTCTGCACCATGGGTGTTCACATGGCACCCAGGCCTGCAGTTGTCTCCCTGGCCTTCATTCCTCAGGACCGTCAGTGCCCTGGCGGTTTGCCTGCGTGTTGTCCGTGGTCACACCCGTGCCTGCCTCCCACAGTCCTAGCCCGCTCCCACCTCCCTCCTGCCAGCCCACTCTGCCCCTCCACTCCATCACTTGAGTTTCTCCACGTCCAGGCGCCACGTCTCTGGCCATGGGGTTCTGTTTTGAGTGTGTGCATGTGACGTGGGTGGGTCTAGGAACAGCCTGACTCAAGCACGGGTGCCTGAAAAACTGGGTCCACACACCAGAGTAGGAACGACACACTTAACCCCACCTCCTCGACACTCCCTTGGCAGGGCCAGGGTGGCAAAACCTTCTTCTGGCCCGGAAAGAAATGAGGAACTACGGAGAGGGGCAAAGGGGAGGAAAGGGAGGGGGACCACGGTGACCTCTCTGATGACCGCTCTCCCCCACAAGAGACACCCAGGCCTCTCCCACTTCCTTTCCGTTAGCCCACAGGGCTGGCTCTCCCCACCCCCACGCTCACCCTCACACCTTTCCACCCACCCGGACAAAAAGTCTGGAGAAGTCACTCAACTCAACCCAACCTGTCAGGTCTGAGTTTCCCTTTGGGCGAATAAGAGACTGAGCCTGAGGTCCACCCCAGCAGGACTGAGAGGAGGCGTGGGGCAAACCAGTCCTTACCCTGGATCTGCCCCTCTCACGCCATCCCACCCCCACAGGACCCCGCCTGTGACCCTTTCTCTGGTGGCCTGTGAAGCCTCCCAAGGCCATTTATGCTTGGAAAGTCTGTCCCCCCCCTGGTCTAAGCGCCCCAAGGCCTGCATTCCACGGCAGCTCCCACCCTCCCCAGGCTGTCTGTCTGCCCCCAGGAAACATTCTCATACTAATCAAATGAAAGGTGATCACTTTCACCTAATCCCACTTTGTCTAAACACGAAACTCCTGTGTCTGCCCCTCCCCCAAGGTCATTCACGATGGCCCTCCCTCCAGGTTTGCTCATCTCTCTGGCTTATCTTCACGGATCAGTATTTCATTCTTGCAAGTTCACCGTCAATGCTCTCTACCTGGGGTGCGTCTATGCACCGTCCTTACCTCCCCCATTAGACAGTGGCTTCCGTGAGGGCAGGGATGACTGTTGGTCATTGATGAAACTTTAGCACCTTGCGCTGTGCCTGGCGTGTAGCAGACACACAATTTGCGTTTGTGCAATGGATGAATGAATGAATGGATGGTGTCGGTCAGTCAATATCTGGGGGGTGTGTTTCCTGGGCAATGTGTATCCATGTGTACACTGGGGTGTGGGGTAGGCATCACGTACCATCTTAGATGAGAATGAGAGAAATATGAGATTCTCTGAAGAGACCTCTGGTTTTTGGCATTGTTATTTTCACAGATGTGCTATCTGTGTTCGCCGTGGGTGTGCAGGCACACTGTAGGTATACGCATGTGTGGGGTGTGTGCCTGTGTCCCAGGTGTGGGGACTCGTTTGTGAGAGCCTCTGTGTGTCAAAGGGCTATCCTGGTCTGGCCAGCAAAGCCGCAAGCTCAGTCGTCAGTTCCTCCTCCTCCAGGTCGGCCTGAGCTGCCTTCGTGAGAATGACAAACCCGAGCTAATGCTAGCTCTAAGAAGCTGTACTGAGGATGGGGGTGGCTGGGCCAGGGCCTGGGTTTCTGCTGGTTCTGTGGGGTTGTGCTTCTCAGGAAGAGAAGCCCCAGAATAGGTATGTGGCCCATGGGTCCTGGGGGTGAGCCCTCCCCACCCAGGGTCCATCTGTTAGGGAGCTGGCAGAGGAGAGGAGGCAGCCAGGGCACAGCGCTGTATTGGATGGAACCGTTGGTCATGAATGCATAAGGGTTTTGAAATCCAAGAAAGAGACAGTTTCAATGACTTTATTTGATGTGCATGCATGTGGAGGTATCTACATCCGGGACCTGGCTGGTGCAGGCTGGGCTGGCCTGGGATTGTGAGGGATTGTGAGGTACCCAGCACCCGAGGCTGAGCCTGGTGATCTTCCTTTGCCACAAGCCTGAAGCTGAGGTGAAGGGGTGTGTGGGGAGGAAGTAGCTGTCCTACTCTTTTGGCCAAGGCTAAGAAACCCCCTCCCCACTTCCAGTCCAGAAAGTTCCCCATCCCCCTTCATATGTTTGAGGATTTGAAAGTGAGAGGTGGAGAGATGTTCATTTGCATGTTCACTCACTCTCCACAGCAGAGGAGTGAACCCCCCCTGCAAGTCCCTCAAAATAACCTCCTTCTCCCAGGAACCTGAAACCAAAGAAGCCACCGCCACAGAAGGCCCGCCCAGCTGGAGGCCAGAGAGGCCCACAGCAGGGCCTCTCCTCTCCAGCAAGCTCTTGGGCTGGGACACAGCTTCAGTGGCCTACAGCCCTGGGCGCTGCCTCATGGGTGAGTGGGGGATTAAGGGGGCACACACAGACACTTGGCTCAGGGAATTGAGGTGCCTGGGAACCCTTAGTAACTGGTGTGAAATCCCCTCACCCTGTCCCAGCGTTGCACAGCTCACAGCTGGCTCCAGTCAAACTCTGCTCCCAGGGTGGCAAGAACTCCGCTCCCTTCACTCCTGACACTGCAGGGTCTCTGGCTCCCAAGCCAGCCGACCTACTTGGGCTGAAAGAGAAGCCTTTGTATATGGCCCCTGGACCGCTGTGCGTGTGTGTGCCGCAGGAGGGAGCGAGCAGGCGAAGGCATCTATGTCCCAGCCTGCAAATGCACACCTCTGGCTCTCTGTAGTTCTGACTGCATTTCAAAACCAAAGCAAACTAGAAGTGGTTTGGGCCACTCCTGTGTCATGACTGGGCCCTCTTCTGACGTACAGACCCCTCCTGCGGCTGTCACTGGAACATGTCAAGCAGTGTCAAGCACCCACCCATCTCGGCCTCCCCTCCAGGAAACCGCCCCAGTGCAAAAGCCACGTCCACAATCTCTGTGGAGTGAGTTTAAATCTACACCCATTCAGATGAGCCAATGGTTCTCACAGAATTGCTGGTAACACCCGTGGCATTTTCACACATGCCAGGAAACATGGAGGCCAGATGGTCAGCCGAGCCACAAAGCACAATTCCCCTTCTCCAGTTCCTCGTCCCCTTGGAGCCAGCTCTCCTGAAATACCTCATCCTCCATGAAACCTTTCTGGAATTCTCTGGAAAGGAAGTGACAATTTCCTTCATGCCATTTCCCACTCCCTCAACACCCCTCCTCCACAACCACAAACAAAATGGAAACTACCCCAGGAACAACTGTACCCTCTACTTAAAAACAGCCCCTCCTCCGGTTAATAGTCATCAAGTAGGGAATTGCCTGCTGCACCATGTGACCTGTGGTGTGTATCTGAGAGACAGAAGGCCAGAGTCGGGGATCCAATCTGTAGTCCTGGACAGAACAGAATTACCCCATCCACAGGATTTAAACTTCAATCAGCAGTGAGCTAACCCTCCTCCTTAAGCAAGTGCCCAGTGAGGGGGCCCCAGCCACAGCTATTTTGTCAGCTGCTTCTTTTCTATCCCTTTCTACCACCCCTTCCATTTGAGATGAAATCAGGAAGAGGGAAGAAAAAAAAATAAAAATTTTGCAAGCTCTGTTGGTTGGGGTTTCTCTGTGCTTATTTACAAGAAACCCAGTTTCCTTCCTTGCCCCTGTCACTGCCTGGTTCCAGCGTAGGGCTTGTCCCAACTCGGTTGGTGAGGTGGGCCCAGAGCTCCTCCCTAGCTGCCTCCTCACCCTTCCTGAGCAGTCCTCCCTCCTCCACCTTCCCAGAGCAGGGGTGTTAGGCCTGTAGGAGATGGCAAGCCCAAGCAGAGATGCTCTCTCCTCTTTCTCCAGGGGCACCCACAGCCCGCCCACAGTATACACTGTGGACATCGTCCAGGTTGGGAAAGGACGAGGGAAGCATTCTGCTGGCCGCACCCCAACAAGATGTGTGACTATGGAAAAGTCGGCCATCTTTCTGGGCTGTGGTTTCTGTCATCCTTCAAGTGGG